AACTGCAGCCTAACACTAACAAGATTCCACCAGGCTATGCTGCTCAGCGTTGCTCTACAGGGTGCGTGCTTAGAAAGTGCTTAAATAGGGCGTTATATCTGCCAATTGTCCGACAGATTTGTCCACAGAAGTAAATTCCTGAGCGTTACAAGAGCCACCAACCCCCCCTCGCCAAATCACTGCTGGAAGCTGATGTTGTCAGGTGTAGCAGCAGCCTTTATAAACAGGAAACAGCTGCTGCTAGAGCTGCATGCAGATGCACCAGCAAAGAAGTTTCTTTAGCCCCTTTTGTTAGGCAGCGTGGAAGACTGGTTTTCACAGTAAGCCTCTGAATTTACATACTGGAATAAAAAAGGCTTAAAAATAGCCATAGGTTTAGAAACACAAGGGAGACAACAAACAGCCATCTTCATATTTACAGAGCCTTCCATTTAATTCAATCACTGGCAAATTTTATCCTCTGTTTAATTTCATCTAAACCTCTGTAACCACATCATCAGTAGGAAAAATAACATAACTTCCATCCGTTATTTTAATCAGTTCTGATCACCGCAAAGCAGCTCATACCTGACAGTTCGGTCACAGGCAACAAAGCTGTTTTAATTAACAAGGAAGGCTTTATCTTTGGGCAACAGATAGTCCACAGAAAAAATTAAAAGCTTTAGAAATAAATAAATGTTCAATAAATGCGAGTTATTCACACAGGGTTCTGTCACAAATACTACTGAATACTGCAGAGACCTGTGCTGGACACAGCACTGCTCTCACGTGCACAACAAAATCAGCTACGTTAATCACCCAGCACAGTGGAAGTGGGCTCGGTCAAAACACTTGTGCAAGTAAGAGAGCAACCAACTCACAGAGGATTTTTGACTTAGGGAAGCGCAAAGTTTTGAGAATTCGTTTTGTACCAAGTGCGTTCTTTCCCTGCATCAATGTGACGACACCTCTACTTCAGTTGCTTTGCCACCCGCCCAACTGCTTGACGTTGCGGCAGCACTCCGCTCCCTCTGCTCCCCGCTCCCCACCAGCCACGCACCCTACGTCTGCCCTGCAAGCCAACTTTTCCGACGCTCATCTGAACAACCTGGCAGGAAATATTAACTTAAGGATAGCAAGAGGGGGAGTGTGGCTTTTGGGGGGTCCAGAGGCATGGCAGGGGGCAGATATGATTGTAAGATGAGAAAGGCAGCAATGGAAAAACTGAGACAACAAAAGCCGTGATCTGCATTATTTCAACTGGCCACACGCCACAGAACCCTGCGCAGTTAAGGAGGTTAACTAACCAAAGCCTTGCACCTGGTGTGCTATCTGCTCATGTACACAAGTTGTAAAAATTAAGTAAGTAGATTATGTGCTGGGCCACAAGAAGAGACTAATTCCAAGTCCAGCACAAACAGGGACATGGTTTGGACCTGGGTCTTCCACTTCCCTTCGGAGCGCGTCTCTTGGATTACCAGCCAGCCACACTGCCAGAGGCTTCCTCCTGCTCCTCGCTTGCCATCATGAGACGGGGAGGGACACACACTTAATAAGCTTCTCCGCAAAAATTTGTTTTGGCCAGACTTTTGGTTTGACACGTCAGTGTTTTCTGAAAAAATACTTTGTCGTGGAGTTCCTACGTAGCTCTAGCACCCTACGTATCACGCAGAAAGTTTTCCTCAGTTTCACAGAGCCAACAATCAGCAAGCTTCCCTTGCAAGTCTCAGAAATGCTCAGAAGTGCAGTACAGCTGCTTTAATCTGGAGTTTTCTACAAACTGCCAGGGACAAACACGCTATGAAGTTGTGCAGGTGGAGCTTAGCTGTCTATAAATAAGAGCACAGTTTAATCTTTGGCTCTGCTGAGGCTGGAGGGCTGCCAAATGTTTCTGGAAACTTGGATGGAACAGAACAAGAACAAATATGATAAAATGAGCTGAGACTGACAATGATTTATAGAGTCAATGATCATTATTCTGTACTCACAGAGTTTGCACTTTTGGAGGAAGGTTTCACTTCTCAATAAACTTGGCTTTTTCTTACTCCTAAGGCTCTATTCTCTACCATCTAACATGGACCGCTCATCAGAAAACCCCGAGCTGCAGCAGCTATGGCTTTCACAGCATAGAGCAGCTGATGGGGAAAAAAACCCAAACAAACCCAAGGAGACTAAAAAAAAAATCTACACAGAAAAAGATGTGTTGGCACTGTACAATTTAACCATGGATGTGGGAAAGAACGTATGCAGAGAAAGCAGAGGTTAAAACAATATGAACACAAACTTACTAAACACAGGGCAGAGCACTCGAAATATTTGTTCTGACAGTCGGTTCCCTAAAGAAGACTCCCTCTTATGACAAGATAACTGTAAAACTTCTCAGGAAACTGTGTTCGAGCCTTTTTACTCATCCTCTCCTTCGCTTTGCTGCCGGTGTTAGCACGTGATCCTCTTTCACTCTACGACTTCAGGCAGTCTCCTTACCACAAAGGTTCTTTGTTGGATTTCCGAATAAGCCTACATTAATACAGGTTTATATGGCCTGGCCTACCCCTAATCTTAGCTCTTGCAAAAAGATTTACAGAAGGAGAGAGCAAGCACACATAATTCATTGGAATAACTCCCTGAAAGACTTTCAGAGAAATTAGAGCTTAAAAAAAAAGTCTCTCCAGCCATTGTCTGAATAATTAAAAAATGCTAAGAGACCACAAAAGTTTCACCCATTATTAATCAGTTCTGTTTTATAGCACCACTGCAAATTTATTACCACCTTAACAAGACCACAAAATTTTTATTTTTATTTACTTCTTCAAATACTTTACCAATTAACTAACTAGCTTAAATTCATTCATTCAAAGGAAAAAAAAAAAAACCCACAAAAAACTATTCTCTTGTCACTTTTACATGAGCAATGCTGTCTTGGACCATATCAGACTTTTTTCATTTATATACCTGGTAAGTATACATGACAAGTTGAATTTCTATCCCCGTTTATTCCAATATGGTACATGAGAGAAGAAGCTTTTCCAACAGTGAAAAGTAAAAGCCATAAGCCAGTCTGAAGTTCTTCTGTGATAAATATTTTATCATAACTGACTTCCAATCATCTGATTTTCTATTTTAGTGCACACTGCAGCCTAATTATTGAGCTAGGAAATATAACATTTTTCCATTTTCACAAAACCAGACATGCCTAGTCAGCTTACTAAAGAGGTACTCTCCTCTTACATGTTTTCACATAAATCTATTTCACATAAATCTATTCTGTTAAGCATAATTAACATCAGCATTAAAATGCAAAATATTTTTAGGATGTAATCCAAGTGAACTTGTTCAGCATTTCTCCTGGGTACTGAAAATGCACAAGTTTTGCTTTTTTTTTTTTTTTTAATACAGTCAAGTACTTGTGTGCTAGCTTAAGCTGCAAGTTCTGACAAAGGGTTGTAATGCAGCAGCATTTGGATTCCAAATGCTGCCAGAAAATGCATCTTGTGCATCTGTTGAATACAATATTTAAGAATCTGTTTGTTTACAAGGTGTCAGCAAATTAAGAATCTATAATTTGCTCCCAACTTCACATGATTTATTTCAGTTTATAACCCTACAGAAAGCTGTTTAATAAGCACAGTTGCTTTATATCATATGTATAAAAATTAAGCCAGGAGAAGCCTCACAATTGCAGCAATTAAGCTGCAGAATGAACCACAAGAAGCACCTTTGCCTCACTAATTCTTCTCACACAGATATCATCTCCCCCAAATTCTGGAAAAATACACAGAAGGAAAAAAAAAAAAAAAAACCACACAAAAGTGGTCCATTTGAGTGTGAAGTGCTTTCCCAGCAGCACACCCTCTCTGTCAACTACAGCTTTTATGAAGAGGTGTCTTTCTCAGGTCCAAAAAAACTTTTTTTTTTCCCCCACTAATCAGACTGCAGAGCAGTACCTTTTAGTAGGCTAGTAACAACAGTAACATTCAATCCAAAGCCATATACACCAAAAACCTCAACCTCTGTCTGAAGGAAAAAATGACATCTTTACACGTTCCTTCCCTGCCTGCGCTACAACCCCAGACCTAGAAAGACTACGAGCACACGCTGAAACAGCAGCCAGATGGAAGAATCAGCACCGTGACTACTAAGTTGTCCAAGTTGAGACTTGCAGCGTACCAGGATGTTAAACTGTATGAGCCCAAATCCCTCTGTGATTCCAGGTCCGTAACTGCGAGGACGCAGTGCTGCACCGCCTATTTACTGTATGCCCCAAATTCACCACGTCCGTACATTACTTTGGGAGCTCCATGTAAGATGGATGCACAGTTTTCAGTACAGTTTTGGAGCCCGACACTTTCTACGTACTTTAAAGTAAACGTGGATGGCATGGCTAAATCCCAGCTTTCAGATAATCTATTTTTGGTCTGCTCTTTGTCAAAGATTCATCCATCAGGAACTATGCCTGTAAACACTTTCTAATATTCCGTATGAGGGACTTAATCTCAAACTCTGTTTAGGAGAATCACTCATATCCAACCTCCCATTAGCCAGCTGGAGCTGACACTGTAAGCCTCCTCCAATACCTGCAGGAAAAAAACCCAACCAAACCAGGGACAATACTTTGTATGCCTTTTACACCTCGTCCTGCCCCGATTAATGAATGTGGCCAGCCTTCCTGGAGGTGAAAATGAAAGTGCAATTTAGAGTCCAGAAGTTTTACAGCTGTTCATTTACCCTATGGCATCCTCTCAAAAACAGTCACTTGATCTTCTCCTCTCTCATTCTACTATTAGAAAGATATTTTCCCCAGTCTAATAAAGTTCCGTATATCGAACGAGGGCTCTCTAACTCAGAATTGTGCAAAAGTTTACCCTATGCAGCAAGTTATTTACCCCTCTTCTTTCCCATAAAGATAACCTCTTTAGGAAAAATTAAAAAAAAAAGAAGAAAGAAAGAAAGAAAGGAAGAAAGAAAAAAGCAAGAGAAGCAACATGAACTATAAGGCTCAAGGGAATAATTCATTTCCCTACCACTTCATCTTCAGTCCAACACTTCTCAATCAGTTTTGGCACAGGTTTCTTCACCAAGCGCTGCAGGGCTTTTCCAGCATCATAGTTACTTTCATGTAGCTAAAAAATAAAGAAGACAAATAGATCATTCAGTGGAATTAGCAATGATCTGATATTGGAGAAAAACCACTACAGGGGGCCAACACGTGATGTTCTATGCCTAATTATTTTTACTGTTGATATACAAAGTGAAATTTAAACAACCTGAAGGGTTTTATTAGTAGAAGAAACCACATTACAACAAGTATATTTTCCCCTTCCTTCCTAAACTTCTCCCAGATAATGTTTGAGCCCATGAAGCACTGAAGATTTTTTGGTTAACTTCAAAAATTTTTTTTACATTAGAAATTCCAAGGAAAGTTTTAAAAAGCTCCAACAACATATTTTTCAAGAGGAGTTGTGTTTTATGCAGCATATTTTCTTCTGATTAGTAAAACCACTGGAAAAACTAACATACAGGAGGGATTGCAAGTCATGGGACATCAGGTTTACCCATCCAGAAAATTCTTTTTATTTTTGTTGCACTGCAAAGATCACCATGCTGTTGGAAAACAAGTATGGAAGAGAAAGAAAACCTCTACAGATAGCTAAAGGAGTACATAAAAACAACTAGGGATGTCTTAAGTTGACATTACTGTTTCAGCTGGTCACAGCCTACAGTGTACCTTATTTTCGATCATAAATTCTGTATCTACACGATCAAAAGCTGTCTGAGGTAGACAGTAGACATGTAAATCAGGGTGAGGTAGAAAAACAACTACACTGAAAAAAGCCATTCAACAATGAACCCATGAGAATCTCCAGCTCTTAGCTCTTGATAGAAAACATTCAGCACACTGTAGATTTATAGCGTGTCCTATCTTCAAAGTACAGTGGGATTTTAAGAACTGAACAGCCAGTCAGGAGCCTGCTCTGTGTCTTCCGAAAATGATCTCAAAGAAAAAGTAGTATTGCTGGGGTGACAAAAACTGAATTATCTTCCTACACCCAAAAGGGAGAATGATTTGCATGCAAACTTCCCTACACAGACAAGAGGTGGTTTTTCTAAACAACGTGCAGAGCAAACCAAAGCTTCAAAGCTATCGATTAACTTCACAGATTTCTACAGACCCTCAGAAGTTTCTTTACAGTAGGGACAACCAAAACATGATTCTGTACATTGGTTATCTCCTGCTTTTCCTTCCCACCCAGAATTTATCCCGAGCCATCTGCATCCCACTCTCCAGAAGCATCCATGCTGCCAGACCTATACTTGATCAGACTCAGAAAACATTTCAACAAGTACTAGAATTCTTGAACTTTTCCCAAGACTGATGAACTGAACAGGGATCAAGATACAGTTACGGAACAGCGACAAGATATTAACTACTGTGTCACTATTAATATAACATTATAACAAAACCTGATTACAAGAGGAAAAAATTCCTCATTTTTCTTATGTGGAAAAGGTTCAAATTTTAGAACAGCATTCTGCTTCAAATAAAAATAGCAAGATTACTTTCTTACTGCTGCTCACTTTAGCTATTTACATCTCTCAACCAATTCAGAAGTACCGATTCTGTACATCTGACAATGGTCAGACCCCTTCTACCCCAGGGCCACCTCCTAACAACACTGGTTTTTCCTTATATTGCTGCTTTTGTCTGGTCTGGTCCTAACTCGGACTGTAAGCTCTTCGGCGCACAAGAATGCCCTGCATTCATACTGCATCCAGTAGCATGATGCGGAGACTTTTAAAAGCTGTAAGTGAATTATTCAAATTTACTTCTGTTAAGTGGGTCTAAGTGATTTCTACTGAGAAATAAAAGCAGACATCTGAATCAAGATAGAAGTGAAGGGAAAAAACAAATCACTGGCCCTACAGAAATTCTTCTTTAGTGAGACTATAATAAAAATCAGTTTCCAATGAAAGCCAGCTTTGTACAGTTCCCCCAGTAAATAATCTCTCTATGAAAGGTTTGTGCACTGACTTTTGAAAGCCACCATACAACTTGCAGAAGGAAGAAAGTCAAATGGCAACTTAGATTGCTATGATGACATTTACAGCAAAATACAGATGTGTGTGTGTATTATAAACATATATATAATACGGTTCTTCAAGGCTGCAACACTGTTGAATCCAGGTTTCAGGTGGGTCAAGCCCACTGTAAGAAAGCCAGCATGGCTCCAGAGCCATGGTGCTTCTGCAAATGACAGGGCAGAATATTCAACAACTCTTCAAGAGCTGGACAGGGCAGAATATTCAACAAGTCTTCAAGAGCTGCAGCAGAACTTGCCAAAAGCCGGGAAATGGAAAGCAAAGCTCTGCACTCTGTACAGGACTCACACAGCTGTGAAAAGAAAGCACATCTGTGAGACCTGGGCCAAAGCAGCCTTCACTTTCACTACCTGGCTTTTGTCAACTCAGGTTTTAAATAGCTTGTGCATCTGGAAGTACACTGCTTTTTTATAAAATAGGGTTTGCTTTTTCAATAAAAATGATACCATAAATGGACAGGGAATTTCAGAGAACAAAAAGTGCCCATGTCACACAAGGCACCCTGGTCTATCATACTGGGGCACTTCATGAAATGGTGGATTTGGGGTACCACATATCATGCCATGCCGTCTTCCCATCTATTTTATTAGCGTCTCAGTTTTCTGGTCATGAGGGCCACAGAACAGATTGTGACAGTCTATAAAGCCAATCTGCTTGCAGTACAAAGCGCACTAGAAATTACTTTGTTTTCTTCAGTAAAGTCCCTGCACATGAACCTCAAGCTATTAAAAGTAACAGCTAATTTATTCCATTGGCTGACAAAATTTCAGTTCCATATAATTTTGAGCCTCCTCTGTAACACCTGAAGTTTCCAGAAAACGTTTTGATCAACAATTGCTACTAAACACCTCAACCTGAGGTCTGAGGTCCAAAAATGCAGAGGGTAGCTATAAAAGCAGAAGTGCACAGCGCTCTAGAAAATGAGGCCACTCAAAAGTCATCCTGCATACCCGCTACCGACAGAGACGAACATGTTACCAGCCGTGTCGAAGAAGAAATTAGTACATTATGGGTTACACGTCACACAAACTGGCTCAAATCTTCTATTATCAGGAGGAACAGATCTTGAACTGATGACGGTGCTCTTCCACTTCCACCAAGTTACTGGGGCATTCAAAATTTATTTATACTTGAGGGAATTTAAAGAAAGTAAAGTACTTCTAAAAATAAAAGGTCACTACTGGCCAAAGACCTCTGATGATTACCTGCAGTGTGTTTTTAGAACAAACAATAATGTTCCCTTAACTGGCAGCCTGAACATTTTTTTCCTCCTTACCAACAACTAAAATAACAGTAGCAAACAGGGTGTTACTGCAGTAAAACAAGCGCTTGCTAATATAATGGCAACAAGAAAGCAAGCTAAGCCAGAGTGGTTTTCTATTCATTTTCAGCTTTCTATATGGCACCTACAGGGAAGTTACAGATACTCTGTGCAATAATTATACGTACTGTTGCAGAGTAACCACAGAAAACAATGCTTCAGCTTCCAAAAAAGTCATTTCCTCCCCGCCCCCCTTCTGCAGCTATCTGATCTCTGCGAGCCACTGCTAAGAGATGCATTAACACATCAGAGCCATCAACAGCACCTCACTCTGCCGTAAGTCAGGGAGATGCATTACCCGAGATCACTTAGTAGAAACCATTGCTTTCAGACCTGTCTCCCCAGGTGAAATTTCCTAATGTACAACAGAACGATGGCTTGTAAATCTGTCTCTCTTGACTACATCAGTGTCAGCTCCCATGGCTGCACCCTCCATGCGAGTGAAACAATGATCTCTGTCCATCCAACATAAGCCACAAATCAAGAGCACAAAGCTAGACTTGCAGTGCCAGTGCTCAACACCAACACTCAAACAACACTACTGACTGCAAACTTTTTTAAACTTGTTTTTTTAGGACTCCTGTGGTATGCAATACCTACTTAAAGACATGAAAATAAGATGTTGTCTTTTCTACTGGGTACACATTAATTTTTCTCCTTGTTTGCACTCCAGCACTGGGAACAGATCCATCTTAAAGAAAAAAAGGACTGTGTGTTTTGCTGGCTCACCTTACAAATGCCTTTTTCTGTGCATGCCACTACCTAAAAGATTTTTCACTTACGAAATTTGACAGTGTTGAAGAGAATAGTGCTTCTGTTTCTGTTCCCTCTTTGCTCCCTCCCAAAACATGCAGTAATGCCAAAGCCTCTTTGTAACTTGGAGGGCATCTTTATTTTGCCTCAAGGACAACATGTGTTTTTCCCTGGCAGCCCTACTACCCAAGCAGTTCAACCTTGGGGGGAAGGAGGAGGAAAAAAGAAAAAAGAAAAGAAACAAAAAAGAAAAAAAAAAAAAATCAGACAAGCCCAGAAAGAATGGACTGGTCTAACAGGCAACTACTCTGGTTACTGAAAAACAGAAGAGTTTACAGGCCATCAGAACTACGAAAATATGAGCATTAGCTTTTGACCAAGTAATTACATTAATAGCAATCACAAAACCCGTAAGCACAGACATGAAAGAAGAAGTCATCATATAACAGAGAAGACACAGATGTGAAAACAAGAGACCTGCTACAGGTTTAGAGTCTCCTGAAAAATGTCACTTTTAGCAAGCGGGGGGAAAAAAAGCTTTTATAAGTGCCAGGAGTAGGATAATGCAGCAAAAAGGAAAAGTATTTTTTATAAATGCCAGAGTTAAAAGTACGTGTTTCAATCTGGCCCATTCTCTGCTTATTACTTTCGGTCATTTAATATATACAAGCACTTTATTGGCAAGCAACTCAAACATATAAATAATAGCTAATGATGACTGCCTATGGTTTCATTAACTTCTGGTTGAACTTTTCACGGTACTGCTATAAACACTAGATTACTATCCTGTCATCCAGAGAATCACCATTTTTAGCATTAACTCTGCCATCTAAATTTTGAACCACTGCGACATTATGTATACAACTGCAACAAAAGGAATCAACACAAATGTACTTATACTTTAAAACAGAAAATACAGCAACTTCTGCCTCACTGGACAGGATTTTA